CTAGATTCATCTCTTGCTGCATCTTGGCAAGAAAGCCAATTTGAAGTTGAAACGAACTGGTAACTGACAACATTGGACAAGATACCAAAGCATTTTCTCAGCCGCTTTTCTCTCTTTTTGTGGAGAGATTCTTCACTGGACCGCTGCCTCTGGTCTGACTCCTTAGGCCTCCCGTCTGACTCCTTGGGCCTGCTCGGCACAGTGTTTTCTCCTGTGAACACTTGATATATTTTGTACACATTACATGTCTTTATGAAGTTGTGCGTGCGTGTTGTACCGTATATATTTTATTTTTAAACATCCTGCTTTCTAACAGAACACAGTAGTTGCTTGCAGGGAGAAGAGTGTGACTAGGAAACAGAGGTAAAAAGGAGGTTTTATTCCACCATATACACTATTTTCTACCTTTTGAAACCTATATAGTATCTGTGAATCATCCATTCAAATTCATTAATTAATTTACTTTTGAAATAAAACAGCTGAAGCTTAAAACACATTCTCTGTGTAAGGTTAAAGGCACCATCTTGTTTATAAAGAAAAACTTATTTAAAAAAAATTAGAATAATGAACTGCTCTGGATACATATTGTCTCATAAAAGTATTCCTCAAAAATGATTGTTAAACAGATATTACATGATCTCACTTATATGTAAAATCTTTTTTAAAATGTATTTTGAACTCATAGATACAGAGAGCGTATTGGCAGTTGCCAGAGATGGAGGCGGGGGTCTAGGGGGATGAAATGGATGCATGTGGCCAACAGATACAAATTTTCAGGCATAAAATAAGTAAGCCCTGGGGATGCAATGTGCATTATGATGACTATACTTAATAATACTGCACTGCATATTTGAAAGTTGGTAAGGGAGTAGATCTACACAGTGTACCTGTGTTGGTGATAGATGTTAACTAACTTAAAAAATAGCGTGATAATCAGGGTGACAAGGGTATGGGGAAAGAACATAATCAACCACTGTAAGTGGGAATGTAAATTGAAGCAATTTAGCAGTATGTTTATTTTTTATTTTTTTAATTTCATCTTTATTGTGTGTTTTTCCATCACCATTTAGTCCTCTTACATCCACCTTCCCCCCTGCAACCCCCACACTGTTGTCCATGAGTCCTTTTTCTTTTTTGCTCAATCCCTCCACCCCCTCCAGCTGTCATCTTGCTCTCCATCCATGAGTCTGTCCCTGTTTTCCTTGTTAGTTCAGTTTGTTCATTAGAGTCCACACATGAGTGAGATCATATGGTGTTTGTCTTTCTCTTACTGACGTATTTCACTTAGCCTGATGTTCTCCAAGTCCATCCATGCTGTTGCAAAGGGTCATTTTTTCTTCTTTTTTTATGGCCGAGTAGTATTCCATTCTGTAAATGCACCGTAGCTGTTTTGTCCACTTGTCTACTGATGGACACTGGGGCTGCTTCCATATCTTGGGTATTATAAATAGCACTGCAATGAACATAGGGGTGCTTATGTTTTTTTGAACTAGTGTTTTGAGTTTCTTTTGATATACTGCCAGAAGTGGAATTGCTAGGTTTAAAGGCAGATCCACTTTTAATTTTTTGAGGTATCTCCACACTGCTTTCCACAGTGGCTGCACCAGTCTGCAATCCCACCAGCAGTGCAAAAGGATTACCCTTTCTCCACGTCCTCGCCAGCACGTGTGTGTTGATTTATTGATGACAGCCATTCTGACAGGTGTGAGAGCATATCTCATTGTGGTTTTAATTTGCATTTCTCTGATGATTAGTGACGCTGAGCATCTTTTCATATGTGTACTATCCATTTGTTAGTCCACTTTGGGTAGGTGTCTACTCAGGTCATTTGCCCATTTTTTAATTGGATTGTTTGCTTTTTTGATGTTGAGTTTTGTAAGCTCTTTATAAATTTTGGCTCTTAACCCCTTATCAGATGTATCACTGGTGAATGTGCTCTCCCATCATATGGGCTGTCTTTTCATTTTGTTGATAGTTTCCTTTGCTGTGCAAACACTTTTAGCTTGATGTGGTCCCATTTGTTTATTTTTTCTTTTGTTTCCCCTGCCTGGGGAGACACAGCCAACAAAATACTGCTACGAGCAATGTCTGCGATTGTGCTGCCCATGTTTTCTTCTATGATTTTTATAGTTTTGGGTCCAACATTTAAGTCTTTGATCCATTTTGAATTTATTCTTGTGTGTGGTATAAGAAGGTGGTCTAGTTTCATTTTTCTGCACATATCTGCCCAGTTTTCCCAACACCATTTATTGAATCGACTATCTCTAGCCCATTGTATGTGTTTGCTTCCTCTGTCAAATCTTAGTTGACTATGAAGATGTGGTTTATTTCTGGTCTCTCTAGCCTGTTCCATTGATCTACCGTATTTTTTGGACTGTAAGACACACTCCCCCACAACTTTAGAAGAGAAAGTGGGGTGTGTTGTATAGTCTGAATGTAGCTTACCTGGCTCACTGGGGGGGGTGGCGATGGTGGAGCAGGGTCACAGGTTATTAAATATTTTACCACATTTTTTGCTTCAAAATTGTTTTCCCTATTTTCCTCCTCTAAAACCTAGGTGCATCTTATGGTCCAATGCGTCTTACAGTCCTAAAGTACAGTATGTGTCTGTTTTTATGCCAGTACCAGGATGTTTTGATTACTATGGCCATGTAGTATAGTTTGATATCAGGTATTGTGATTCCTCCAACTTTGTTCTTCTTTCTCAGGACCACTGAAATAAGTGTTGTTGTTGTTTTTTTATCTTAAATATATACTTTTTTTTTTATCTAGAAATCTCACTTTTAAGAATTTGTCCTATGGAAATAAACTGTCATTTGTACAAGGCTTTATTTGCAAACATTTTCATTTACTTATTGTTCATAAAATTAAAAATAAAGAAAATATAAGTGTTTAGTAGTGTATTGATTTAAAATTATGATATGTTATAAAATATGATGTATCTATTAAATAATATTTACATAAAATGTATTTATTGACATGGGCAGTGTTTATGGCATGTTGGTAAGTAAATTATAAAGTAGCCTGAGTACATGCTGTAGAAATTGTAAACACTAGACACACACCATTTTGGAAAAGTGTGGAAGTAAATAAACCCCCAAGGTTGATTCTGGTTTATCCTGGTGGCAGGATCAGGGATAATTTTTTTCTTTTTTCATGTATCCCATTTCCATTTTAAAAATAAAATATGTAATAAAACGATTTCTAACAGAGAATAACAAGATTCAAAAATTGAAAAGGCAATACATGGAGGAATAACTATTCAAAAAAAAGTAAGAGAATCCTGAAGACACATTTTTCTTTGTGACCAAAAGTCTGATAGGCAACGCATCGGGGACGAAGAGCATCCTCTGGCCTCCACCAAATGCAGGCCGTTACTCAGCAAGGGACCACAGGGGAAGACGAAAGCCTGGGCATTCTTTGTGAAGGACTGCCTGCAGGTGCTATTTTTAAAGTCTTCGTAACGGTCGTGAAAGATCTCAACAAGTGAAGGCTAAATAAATTACAGCGACGGAAATAAATTGGCAGGAAGAATGTATGATCTGGGTACTGTTATGGGTATGATAAATCAACTCAGCAGCGAAGTCCTGTTTTTTAGATGCAGCCACATCACTGCTGCTGGGAGATCCTGCAGGACTGTTGCCGAACTGGCTGTTTTGTTTCATTATTTGCTCTTCATTTCTCCTAAGAATATTCGGACTAAAATTGGACTTCCTGTTGTTATACTTCTTTAAGGAACAAAAATAAATTCTAGCATAATGGGATCAAAACGCGGCTCTTTCTCATTGTCATGCGGTCAAGATCAATTATAATGAGCAAAGAAACTACTCCCTGTGATAGAGGAAAACATGTGGCTTTGAGTGGGCCTAAGGGTGGTCTTTCTCTTCCACAACGTGTGCACAGTACGTGCGCAGTGCATAAAGCAAGACTTTGAGGGTCCCACGGTGTGCGCCACACTCGGGCCATTGTCCACTGTGTTTGCCTTTCACATGGTGTCTCAATCTACACCAAACGCAGAGAAATCTGCATGACTTGGTTATCTATTATTTGAATATGCAATCAGTGAGGTCTCCTGGCATCTCAGACTGGGTGCCCCAGAAAAGAGACTCTGAGACAGAGATTCGTGTGCAGGACGTCTGTCGGAACATCTCTCGGGGAGTGGACAGAGCAGAACCCGGGCGGAAGTCTGGGCTCAGCTGCCCGCACCAGAGCTCAGGAGGTGAGACGGCTCTCCCAAGTTGTCTCATGTTGAGGTGAGGGAGCTGGATCTTTGTACTCGGCCCCCCTTGCTCTGCGAGCATCTCTCACCCGTGATGGAAAGAGCACCAAAACAGGAGGAGCCTGCTTCCTGCGGGCCAGTCCTTGGGCGGACTCCATTGTAAACTCAGCAGCCAGCACTCCAGGCACCTGGGGGTGTGAGGGTCTCCCACCTGCAGGGGGACCTGGGCCGTGTGCTGTGGGGGTCTGAATGTTTGTGCGGCCCCCACACCCGTGCATTGAAACCCTCATTCCCGACATGATGGCCCCTGGGGAAGAGACGTTTTTGAGAGGCAGGTTTAGATGAGGTCATGAGGATAAAGCCCCTATGATGAGTTTAGTGCCCTTTTGAGAAGACAGAGACCCAGGAGAGGTCTTTGCGCGCACAAGTACACTAAGGGCAGTGAGAACGCAGCCCAGCCGGGATGATGGCCCTCGCCAGAACCCGGCCCTGCGGGTGCCCTGCTCTCAGACCTCCAGCCTCCAGTCCCGGGAGAAGTAAAGGCTTCTTGTGTAAGCCATTCGGCGGATGTAATTTGTTCTGGCAGCCCAAGCTTTCTGAGGTGCCGAGCATTGCAGCAAATACTACAACAAGCAGTAACACTGGGTCATTTCCAAAGTCCGTCATACTCAGGGTAGGCGCTCAAGAGACAGATTAGTAGTTGAAGGTAGAATTCTTAAGACAGAAGTTTTGCACTTTCATAAAAAAAATGTTTATTTAACTTTCATAGTGGTGAAGTAGAAAAAATGATTACCCTCTATTTCCTGCCCTGTTACCAGTCTAGGATGTGTGGGGCATTATTTTATTAATAATGACGTCAATTCAGTGTCCAAGAGAAAAAGTGTAAGTTCCCTTTATTTTCCTGTGTTTCTGCCACTGCAGGGTCTGTCCGTTCCCACCAAGTCCACTTTTCCCAGTACTCGGCGCCAAGGCAGGTCAGAGAGAGTCCCTAGGAACCCCGAGGTCGCCTCCGCCTGCTGGCTGCCTGTTAGGCTCAGTCACTGAAAGAGCCTCTGGCAATACTCAGGTCACATGCAGTCACGTTTCAGAGAGTCGCCGGGTAGGCGCAAGAGGTGTTGTCCGGATCTATGCGGGGTCCATCTTGGTGCCAGTGCTGGCTCTGGGGCCATTCAGCCAATGGCCCAGGGCACAGCGAGTCTAGCTGCCGCCTGCCGGGTGCTCACACACCTTTGTGGTGGGGCGGGTCTCAGGGAGCCGTCAGGGCGAGGCCAGCAGAGTTTATCAGCAGGCTTCGGCAGACCAAGGTTTGGCCCTCTGAAGGGAAGGCTCTGCACCGGTGGGGCGCGTGATTGAAAAATTTCCCCGCCCCAGAGCCACACAGCTCAGGCCACCCCATATTCTGCCAGGAGCCCGATCTCAGCAGGGAGGGGCAACTGGGAGTCGAGAGAGGGGTGGTACCGGTCTGGTTTGGGGCAAGTTTGGGGTTGTGGCCCTTGCCCCAGGGTCACACAACTCCGACCGTCCAGAGTTCAGTCCAGACCTCGGCAGGGAGGAGCCACCAAGAGTCAAGATGGTGGGTTGGCTGGGAGCCTGAGTCTGACTCCTCAGCAGGGTGGAAGCTCCCCAGGGTGGGATGTTGGGGAGCCCAGAGGGTGGGGCTATTGCTTTCCCCCAGGCCAATGCCGCAAGAGGGGCGTGCTCCAGCCGAGAAAGATGGCGTCTGCAGTACAGTAGAGGGACTGAACACAGACAGTTCCAGTGGCTGTCGCCTGGGCTCTCTCTCTAGAGACACGAACTCCTGTCTCTCCTCACACAGCTCCAGTGTGCTCCGCCCTCCCTCTGCCGGAGCCCAGGACAAGCAGCTGCAGGTGAGATGCTGTCCATTGGCCCTTTAAGAGGGTGCCCGTGTTTCTGGCCGTCTCTCCCTGGCAGACGGAAACGCTGCTGCTTTTCACAGCCAGACGTCCTGTGGGCATCTCTTCCTGGCTCTGGTGCTCCGGTGCTCTGGGCTGGGGAGCCCAGCTTGGGCTGGAGATGCCATGCTTGTCAGGGGGATCCCCCAGCAGCTGCGGGATCCCTCTGGAACCTCAGCTGCCGCCCACGGGAGGGGGCCAGCCCTTTCACAGCAGTCTCTGTGCTTCCTGCCAGTCTTGCTGTGGCTTCTTCTGTAACTCCTTGGCTGTAAGACTTCCTGCCGGCTAATCTCCAGTTAGCTATTTAGGTCTATTTTTCTCTATGCTTTTTTTTTAATTTTTAATTTTGATTTTTGGTTTTAGAGAGAGGGGAATGAAGGGACAAAGAAGGGGAGAGAAACGTCAATGTGACAGAGAAACACTGATTGGCCGTCTTCCGTGAGCGTCCCAGCAGGGGCCCAGGCGTGTGCCCCTACTGGGGACTGAAGTTCCGTATTTTAGTGGTGATTCCGGTTCGGTCCTGGGAGGGTGGGAGTGTAGCTCCCACCTGCTCCCCCGCCACCCTGGATCCCCGGAGTATTTTCTATCATCTTAGTCCATTGCTCAAAATTTAGGAACAAAACTCTCTCCCCCCAAAATTTGTAATAACAAATACATTTTTCCTTTATATTTTATTTGTGCAGCAGGAAAATAAAGATGGAAGTTTATTTGAGGATTTTATTAATTTGACCAGGGTCTCCCAATGCTTTAAGTTGAACTCATGGGGAATTGAACTCATCTTTGGAGAAATCTCTCCAGGCGTGTCCTTAATGTGTTTGAAACAGAGCCCTCGATTCCTGGCTCTCCCTGCCCGTGCCCCCTCTGCCCCGTCCTCTCCCCGCTAGTTGCTCAAGACAAACATCAGGAATTATCCTGGACTTGTTTTTCTTCTCCTTCTTCTCACATACTCCACCCAAACTATCGATGTGTCCAGTTGGCTCTCCACCCCCAAACCAACTCCTCCTTAGCAGCCCCACTGCCGCCACCGTTGCCGCCCAGCGCAGCCGCCCCCACCCCTCGCCTGGACCACTTCAGTAACTTCCTAAGTGGTCTCACAGCTTCTACTTTTCTGTCCCTACTCTCTTCATAGAGCGGCCAGAGTGAGTTTCAAACGTATTTTGATTAGGCACCACATTTGCATGATCTGAAATTTAACACGCTCCAGAGATAATGTGCCCAGAGAAGTCCTGCCCTGCCTTCTGCGCTCCTCCCCCTCCGCCATCTCCCAAGGAGAGGCGCTCCCTTCCTGGATGCTGGAGGCGGACGCAAGAGCAGACGAACACACACCCCACCTCATCACACACAAAGTAGCCTGCCATACACACTGCTCCATGCCGTTCCACGTCACCGTTGGTTTCACTGACCGGTAAGTCCCGAAGTTCTTCCCCATCAGCACACAGAGATCTTCCTCGTTCATTTGTACGGTTGCACATCATGCCGTCGTTCGTGGAACCAGGTCCCTTTTGCTGAACATCACAGCTGGGCCCACTTTTTGCTCTTACCAGCAATGCAACAGTAAACCGCCTCATGGAGGTGGAGCTGCCTCTGCAGGATGGAGTCACAGAAAGACAATGACAAGATCACATATTCTAGTCTATCTGCCAGTTCAAAATAACAATTGCAGAGACACATCTGATTGTCACTTCCCCTGCACAAAGGCCTTCCAAAATCCCCATCCCCAATCCCCCTCCGTGGAATGAAACCCACCGGGACCCACAGGGCCCTCCCTAACCTGTCCTCGGTCTACCTCTTCGATATTACCCCATCTCTCCCTCTCTTTCACTGTGGACTAAGCACGCTGGTCTTCTTTCATAAACCTCAAAAAAGTTATCTTTTGCAGGATGTATGATTTTACTTTGTACAATAGCTTGTTTGCATCACAATGTACTGTATTGTCAAATGTGCATGAAAATCCGGTCATCAGCCGGAGACCTGACAAAGAAGTTGATTTTGGGAGGGGAGAATCTATGCTAATGTGGAATGGAGATGGAATATTTGAATGGGTTTTATAATCAGGCGTTTGATAAGTAAAGCATTTCTATGTTATGATAACGCCTACTCTCCTACACAACTTCAGATACCAGGGATTTGGAGAATGCATGTTGAGATAATGAGGACGTTCTATCATTCCGTAGCTGTGTGACCATGAACCCCGCACATAAAGGTAAATGCCTAATGTGATGTGGAAACGCAGCGTGGCTGGGAAAGAGCGCTGGGCTGGGAATTGGGAGTGCCGTGCTCCCCTGCAGACGCCGCCACGGAGGCAGCGGTGTGGGGTCGGGCAGGCTGTGCTTGACCTCTCCTCGCCTCCTTTCATTTGTGTGAGAAGAAAATGGAATTCACCGTTATTCTCAACCTTTCCACTCCCCAAGGATTCCTTTTCGTAAACCCCTCCATGTTCATAATATGTTGAGAAATTTTGTCTACTAACAATTGTCACTTACGTTACCATGTTCATTGGTCATTGTTAACATGTTCATGTTCACTGTTAATATATCACAAAATACATAGCTTCCATTCTGGTGAGCATGCACTAAGTAATTGACGTTGGGTGAGTTGATGTAATTCCATCCAGGGAAAAGAAGCGTCTTATTTTAATTCGCCTGGGGGCTTTACCCTGTTTAATGAAGAGCCTATAGGTTGGGAACCTCTGGTCCCAGTCAGTCATGTTTCCTTGCGAGTCTGGGAGTCAGTGTTACGTATGCAGCCGTGTGGTCCGGCGGTTTTTAGACGGCGCCCCACACAGTCCTGGGGCTCACTCAGTAGGATGGCTCACAGCAGAAATGAGGGTGGGGAAGAGGAGGTGAAGCAAGCTGTCTCAGCACCCCCAAACCTGTTTTACCTAGAGCAGCCCCATGTTTTTCCTGTTCGATATATGGGGTTCTGCTCAAGCCTTTGTTTGAAAAAGGGGTTTCAACTACCCAAAATAATTGGGAAAATATGACAATCGAACTGAACTGCACAAATGAAGATAATGAGGCCTAGAAGAGTTCGGTGACATTTGCCCAAAGATACAGAGCTAATTAGTGGCAAAATATTCAGTTAGTCAATCAACAAACACCTATTGAACACTGTGGAAATAAAAGTTATAAATATAAAACTTTGATTCAGCCTTAGTCGAGGACAACCTGTGGGTCGCCATGCTATCTGATGGGAATCCCTGGGATGAAAGAATCTTACTTGTCCACACTGATGGAGAACTGACATTCGTGTGTGCCTCTACCACTGGCCAGTGAAACAAAGAAGAGAGGGCAGGGGGATATGGGCGTTCTCAGTCTCAAAGGAGAGCAACGTGCGAGGAGCCCTGCTCTGAGACAGGCGGGGTGGGGCGAAGGCTTCCTCCAGCTTCAATCCGCAGGGGCTCTGTCTCCGATGCTCACGCTACCGCTCCGGCCGCCGTTCACAGAGCGGGAGCCGCGGCCCTGCCTCCCCAAGGCTGTTTATAAGGTCTTGGTTTCATTTCCCAGACTGAGCAAGGGATGACCACTACCCTCGGAAAAACCTGTTTCGATGGAAAATATATTAATTGAATCTATAAAATACAGTTGTAAAAGTCAATGGGTTGAATTGGTTCAATTTGAACTGTTGATAAATTCACTGGTTTTACGATAATTGGCCCATGGCTGGGTAGGGGGAATATTGTCTCGTTAGTCCAGAAGCTCCAGACCCTCTGCTTCTAGCTTTCTCCTTGCTGGAAATGTTTGAAATGAAGGTCGTTGTTAGCAGAGTCAAACACGAACATAATGCAAGGCCTCGTGATTCTCAGCACCGACCAAGCACCACCCTCCAGGCTTTGAGGATGCAGCAGTAAACGTGCAGGAAAAGGCTTCCCGCCCATGCGGACCAGCTGGCTCTCCTGACTGCTGAGCCACTGCTGACTCCACTACGGCATGCAAGGGTGAGGACTCATTCTCATGTTTTCCAAGTACTTGTCACCACAGAGTATGAATATGCTTACCTCTTCTCCACATTATGTATTCATTTATCCCACAGATATTTATTGAGCAGCTTCTATTGCCAGGCTCTCTGCTAAGGGCTGGGCGTCCTGGCGTGAGTCAGCTCTCAAGGTGCTCGCGGGCTAATGGGAACACAGACCTGGAACCAGATTTCAAAGCAGCATGATAAGCACCACGGTGGGGAAGGAAGGAGGTACAGACATGCTACACGACAGCAGGCACTGTGATTAACTCGCTCCGGGCTGACATCCGAACTTGGATTTGACAGGTTAACGGGGGGTCCCCAGGCAAACCAAGGGTGGTGGCGGCAGAAATGGCACAGAAATAAGCAAGACCATGCCTGTCCGGCGAACTGTGCACCGGTATCGAAGGGGTCTGAAGTGCAGGTGGGTGGGAGGCAGCACATTGATGGAATCTTTACCGAATGGTCTGTTTGCTCTGTGACTAAAGACAGATGGACTCTTTTTTTTTTTTTTTTTAGCACAGGCTGGGTAAAAAGTTTGTAGGGAGGTATGAAAGAGCTGCTAAATTTTTTATAAGATAGAAAAGATTGGAACACAGCCAGGAACAAAGATATACACTCAAATATACTAGTATGAGAAGATCTACAAGATATATTACTTAGTGCAAAAAAGCAAGCTGCAGAACTCTGTGTACTAATTTCACCTTTGAGTTAAAGGCAGTAGGAAATAAAAAGTCCTTTCTGTTTTTACAATTTTATGTATTGATTTTAGAGAGAGGGAAGTTGGGAGAGGGAGACTTCAGTTTATTGCTCTACTTATTGATGCGTTCATTGCTTGCGCCCTGACTGCGGAATCGAACCCACAACCTTGGCATGTTGCGACAATGCTCTAACCAACTGAGCTGCCAGCCAGGGCCAAAAAATACTTCTTAAATGCACAAGATATCTCTGGAGGAAAGCACAAGACAGTAATAACAGCTGATTGCCTGCAGGAAGAGAAGCTGGACAGCCAGATACAACAAGGCGGGGGGTGGATGCTTCATACTTTTGAATTCTGGGTCACAGAAATGGCTTGTGTATTCAAACCTGAATAAAAATAAAAGTTCTAAAATGTTTTACATAAAATGGAAAAGACTACTTTTTAAGGGCAATGGAAAATTAACCAAGTGTTGCTTCATGGCTACGTTCCTCTGGAACCTTGTGCTTTGGCCTAACTTTGGGAAACACGAGGAGGAATATTTATCTTCATCAGCAGTTCCCATTTGGGAAGGGCAAGTTGGTTGACTTGTGGGCATCTCCAGACAAACCTGAGCAAGGCTGCTGCTGGCTTGGACCCTTGAAGCCAGGTCTCCAACCGTGGTCTTTTCATCAAACCAACGGCATTGTTCCGGTTAAATCAAAGCAGCACCTCAATGAGGATCCCAGTTCCTTTATTGTGCGTGTTGGTGCAGAACCCTGATGGTACAAAGCGAGTTAAACGGACCCTAATTAGTACTTAATGCATAAATACTGACTGTGACCGACTTTCATATGTGAGTTGCCAAATCACATTTGTCGTCTCATAGTCGTGCCCTTTCATCTCTAACCAGACCCACGCAGGCAGGTTCTGGGTCCTCGGCAACGAGCCTGGGAAGGCCCGTCCACCTGCCATAGTGTCAGGCAGTGGAGACACCGGGATGACCAAACTCTCGTCCACGGCGTCTGGGGCGACACGGGGCAGTGAAGGAGGGAGGCAGAAAGAGAACACGAGAAGAAAAGGCGGTTCTGCCAGGGAGGCACGAACAGAATTCTGCAGGAGCCTAGAGCGAGGGGTGAGCAGGTCTGCCCTGAGGGACTTAGGAACAGCTCCCTGGAAGAGAAGATGTGTCACCCGAGTCTTAGACGAGGAGTCAACATTGAGGGGGGATAAGAAGGATGTTCCAGGCAAAGAGAATACTCTGTGCAACAGCAGCAAAGCTCAGAAGAACGCGGCATGTTGGTGGGACCCCAGGCAGCCTGGTCTGACTGCAGTGTCAGGCGCTTTTCGGGGAGTGGTGAGCATCAGGCCAGAAGGGCGGGTCCAGACAGGGTTACGAAGAGCCCCGGGTGCTGGGCTAACACGTTTGGACTTTGTCACGTCAGGGAAATACCGTGGTCTCAGTTGCCGTGCTGCTTTGCCGTGACTGTCTAACCCTCCTGTAAGCAGGTCACCCTCCGCTGGTCTCTGTAACCTTGTTAGAGGCAGGACAGGATGTGGAAGGCAAACTTCTAAACTTAATGTTACCTCTTCATTCTTCCTTCTTACTCTGCTTCCACATCTAATTAGTCATCAAGGTCTGTGACTCGTCTGTCACAAATTCTCTCTTTATGTTTTCTGAGAGCAACAATTCAGTAAGTACTAATTACCTGTGTCAGGTACTGAGTTTAGGGCTTTATATGCACGGTCTATATACCATCTTATTCAGTCCTCAAAATAGTCCTCCTTTAGTCAAGGTTTTTGGTAGCAAACAGCAGGTAACTTAAGCAGAAAAGGAATTTACTGGAAAGATATCGGGCCACTCACAGAATCCATAGGAAGGTGGAGGACTGGGTTCGGGGGGCAGCCAAGAGAAGAACCAGAGCACAGTTTCCCAGGACGTGCCCCTCTGTGCCTCTGGACTCTAATCTCCCCTGGAGTCCTCGAAGATTCTCGAACCAACCCCAGTGCCTTTGCATCACTACCCCCCTCTGCAGAGTATGGTGAGCGGCAGATGGCCCTGCTCAGAGCACATGCCTGTGGCCCAGCTGCCAGAGGCTGGCACTGGGACAGCTGTCCCTTGAGGCTTTCACTCCCACTGGGATGCACTCGCATCAGCAAAGATGTTCAGGTACCGGACAACAGAAATGACGAACATCCACAGTGCACTTTGTAGATGAAGGAATCGACTCAGAGCAGGTAGATTAGTTGCCGAAGTAACAGCTACTCGGTGGTGGGGCCAGGCTTGGAGCCCGAGTCCGTTTGTCTGCAAAGCCCACGCTGTTACGCAATCCTCTGCACTGCTGTCTCTAAACCACCCCAGCTCTGTTTCACAGCCCACACACCAGTCCTGGCTCCCATCCCCCCGTCTGCATTACTGCCTCCTACCTGGTCGCCCTGCCTGTGCTCCCCCATCCCAGTCCATTCTCCGCACAGTTGCTAAGATGATATTTTCCCACTGCACCTACATTGTGTCAGCCTCTTATTCAAAAACCTGTGACTCACCCCTTCAAGAGTATTTTCTGACTAATATCATTGCATGCTGGACACTCCCTCAGTAATCAGGCAAATAATGTCCCTGCAGTGCCGTAACAGATGTCTGATTTATACTCTACTATCTAGTGCATATTAACAGTCTCTAGCTATCACATTTATATATGACTTCACTGAGGTCTGAGAGCCTGTTTTCTGCTGCTTTTACAATGCTGGTGACAGACACTAGCATCTTGCACAGTGAATGGCTTCTCGTTTCTGAATCCCAAGGCCTGCTAGGGTATTGCATTACTGTCATCAATGTTATTATCTGCAGAGCAGCATTATTTGCTAATTCATTATTAGCTTCCCTGAAACATCCCAGTTGCTTCCTATGTTTGCCACCTATACCATGCCCTACCAAGAGTGTGCTTAAAAATTGCTCATAATGATAATAATTTCATTTCATTTTTTGAAAATGTTTCTTTACTCCACCCTCAGCTACTGTAAGTTGAGCAAAAGTAAAAGTGATATCCTTTTCTCCGAGCTCTGAGGTGAGAAGAAATAACATTTAGAGCATGCCGCACCCCATTTCCAATGAAGAATAATAAAAGTAGTCCTGGTCAGTGTGGCTCAGTTGGTTGGAGCGTTGTCCCACAACTGAAAGTTTGTGGGTTTGATTCCCGGTTGGGGAACATAGTTAGGTTGGGGGTTCAATGCCCAGTTCAGACATGTATGATCCCCAATCCGGCATGTACAGAAGGTGACTAATCGATGTTTCTCTTTCATGTTGTTTTTTTTTTTTTCTCTCTCTCTCCCTCTCTCTCTAAAAGCAGTGAAAAAATATCCTCGGGTGAGGAAGAGGAGGAGAAGGAGGACGAGAAGGAGAGGGAGGAGGAGAAGAAGAAGGAGGAGGAGGGCAGGGAGGGGAGGTGGAGAGGGAAGGGGAGGAGGAGAGGGAGAAGAAAAGCATGGAGCATTACATGCAATAGAGCACTCTGGCTGGCCAACTTACTACCCTGAGGCTCCAGCAGGAGAGCCTCTTGCCTGGTTCCTGAATCGCCTTCCTTCGGCAGAGAGCATCAGTTAGCAATTTATAATCCCCTGGACCCTCAAAGACCACTAGATTCTTCCAAATCTGGACCAAGATGCCCAAGAACCAGAGTGACACAGGTGTTTCACCTCCAGTCTGCCTGTGCTCAGTTCCTCTTTTGGAGGCCCTGTACTTTTTGAGTTTATGACATCAAAGAAGGTCACACCTACACACAAGGAAGATGACTTGTGATCAGTGCTTCCAGTATAATTAACAAAACTCAGAATTTATTTTAAGGATACTCCTATATGCTCCGATCATTTCATAGGTGTCAAGAGTAAGGATAAAAAAAAATCAGGTTTCTGTCCTCAAGGAGTTAACCTTTTATTTGGGGAGACAAATCTATTAAATAAATAACTGATGGACAGTTGGATAAGGCAATGAATTAAGTCTGTACCGGGTACGTGAATGGCACATGAACAGGAGTAATCTACTCTGTTTGGGATGAGGGATCCCCAAAGACCTTACAGAGGATGAAATGCCTGAGCAGGGGTTTTGTCTGACTTACTGTCTGACAAAAGTCAAAGTTTGTCAGACAGATGAAGTGGGGAAGAACATTCCAGAAAGAGAAGTGAGGTGTACTATGGAATGAAAGGAAGGCACTTAAAACATGTCGTTTCTAAGCCTCACAACAACCTCCCAAGGTAGGTGTTGTTATTCTCCACTTGCTAGATGGGGAAGCCAAGGCTTAGAGAAATGGACTCCTTTGTTCGACATCCCAAAGTTGGAAACTACCTCAATCCCCCATTCAACGGCTTAGAGAATTTCTGCAAAGGCGAGAGGTGGTGCCCTGGCTGGCTGGTATCTGCCTGATACGCCGATGTTGCAGGTTTGACCCCTGGCCAGGACACATACAAGAATCAACCAATGAATGCATAAATAAGTGGAACATCAAATAGATGTTTCTCTCTCTCCTTTCCTCTCTCTCTTTCAAATCAGTAATAATGATGATGATGATAATAATAAAAATAAAAGACAGGAGGTGGTGAAGAGCTGTACTGTGCTTTGAGAGAGGTCCTTTGTAGCAAACTGCCTGGCCTCCAAAAACCTGTCTTAGAAAGGCATTCCCAGAAGGCACATCCCATTTTTTTGCCCAGCTCTAAAACATTGGTATTTTTTTGACCTCCAGACCTTGTCAGTCCAATCACACCACATAATCCATGACTGTTCCTCGGCCAGCTTGTTAAATCTTGGATGGCTCTGTGGGGTTATCATATAATGAAGGAGGTCACGTGCCAGGCCTGCACCCAGAACCCAATATTCATTCAATAATCACAGTAACTCTCTCCATTGACTCTGGAGTAAGCTAGAAAGGCCAGATTGCTGGGGAATGGAAAGAAGTCAGGACCAGGAGCAGCGGGGCCTGGGTTCAAGCTTGGGGGACTATGGCCAGGAACTTAACCATCTAAGAAAACGGGGAGGTCGACACCACATATGTTTAATCAAAGACACTTGTATGAGAGATTCTTTTCTTTCCCCATTCCTAGAATCTCACCATTATCAGCAGTGGCCTGAACCAAGGTCACAGGACAGCCTGTTGATTCAGGGCTGTCCCTAAGTTACCTGCATTTAGAGGTCAGTCCTGGCCGTTATTCGGCCAATGGCCAGGGAAGCTATCGAGGTCATTCAAGGACAAGGGAGAGAAGGCTCCCAGAAACTACAACTCCCAAGAGACCACGGATGTCATTCGGTGGCGAGGTCCGCAGCAAGTTGTGAGAAGCCAGCCACCAGCCCGCCACACTTTCCTGTTAAGGCCGCCTGGACAGGTAACCTGTGCGCATGCCCAGTTACGTCCCAAATAGTTCGGCTTCTTTACTTCCTGCTGGTTTCTTCCCTTTCCGGCCTCGCCGAGGCGAGTTTTTCCCCGCCCTACCCTCTGCCTTCTTTTTCAAGGCTTTGGAAGGGGGCCGAGATCTCTAACAAGCGCGTTCCCGGGAGTGTGCACACGCGCGTTCACGGGAGACTCAAGGGGGAGGGGACTAAACCCTGGGTGTGGAAGGTGGCAAGGATAGGAGGAAACCGCAGAGAATGGAAGGCGCATGCGTTCTAAGGAAGGCGCAGCGAGGATTTGGGAATTGCAGAGGGGCGGGGCGGAAATTGGCAACTAGCAGACCAAGCGCATTGAGCGGGCATCGCCCCACCCCTTTTGAGGTTTCGCTCCTCCCCCACCGCCCTTCCGGAAGTGCAGTCACACACCCTGGCGCCGACCAGCGGCCACCCCCTGCGGCAGGCCCCGCCCCCTACCGACTCCGCCCCCTGGCTCTCCGCCCCCTCCGCTGGTTGTGGCGCTGGGTTGCAGCGCCGGTCGTGGCGGTTTCGGTACCCGAAACCGGGATCGCGGAGTCGTTCGCTGGGGCGGCGGCCAGGCTATGATCGCGGGTCCCCGGCGTCGCTCTCGGGTCAACCAGAATCCTTGTCTCAGCGTGTGCCTGTGGCCGAGCGGTCTCCTTCACCCGGTCCCACTGCGCGGTTGGCAGCGGCACTCCCGGCGCGCCCCCTCCTCCGATGGCGGCGGAGATCCAGCCCAAACCGCTGACCCGCAAACCGATCCTGCTGCAGCGGGTCGAGGGGTCCCAGGAGGTGGTGAACATGGCCGTGATCGTTCCCAAGGAGGAGGGCGTGATCAGCGTCTCGGAGGACAGGTACGGATCGCTGCCCCTGGGCAGCGAGGAGGGGCGAACCGGGACCACTGTCCCCAGCCTGCGTCAGGGGCTGTGCCTCAACGTCCGCCCAGGTGTAGACATGCTCCCTCAAGTTTTTATCATACTACGCATCCTGGTGGTGCCGGTGTCCAGCTGCGTGCCTCCGCCCCTGAGTGGCTCCGGGAAGCGGAGCTCGGACAGCGGCCGGTGAGCTCTTGGGCTCCCCCGGGGCTGGGTGACGCCTGCAGGCGCCACGGTGGCCCTTGCGCTAACGGTACGCTGGCCACTGGACCTTGATCCAGCCCTGGGAGGCTGGAGGGAGAGAAGGAACTGCCCGACCCTGCAGGTGTGTGTTTGGGGAAGATGCCCCGAGCTGCCTCTGCGAAAAGAACGGAGTACCCTGGTACAGTTCTTAGGGCTCCAAGCTGAGAAAGCAAATGCCACTCTCTTCTCCCAGACATTCCCATCGAATCCAGATCTGCGAGACATCTTACACTGAATGCAATGAATATTGCGAGTTGTGAAGAGGAACTTCAGGTTTCTGTCCAAAGGAGAGGTTCCCTCTCCTTTGCCTTCTTTTTCTTTTCTATTGGAGCTCAAAGGGAAGCGCCTAGAACAACTTGCAGGGGGCCAACTGCTGCAAATAGCTCTTAAGTTTCTTCCCTCTGCTTGCTTCCTTTCTTTTTGCTTTAATTTTGCTTAATTTGCAGAAGTAAAGCCAGTTGTTCTGCCTTCAGCGTTCTCTCTTATTTTTCAGACGAAAGCGTTTTTGATTTAATTTCCTTTCCGTTAATATGCAGAAATTAGGCTGACAAAGCTGATGATCATATGAACGCTGCTTGAATAGAGCAGTTATGGTGTTTTCTGGAATTGTTGCTTAGATAGTATGAACTAGTGTTCTAGAAAATGCAACACAATAGAGGTATATGACAGAGGCTTTAATCTTAAAACAGCAGTTAGGTTTTCTTACTGTAAATTCAAATTATGCTGAGGTACAGAATATTTTCTCTCCGTGACTCCAAAAACTGTAGGCAGAGGTTAAGCAACAAAGTGTTCATTACTGTTTTTATTGTCATTTCAGCACTTTCCATACAATGTAGCCTCAGAAAATTTGCCTGATAGGTCTACTCATATCGTAGGTTCTTCAGTATAACTAGGATGAGTATAGATTCCATACAAATGGCCAAACAGATTTATTATCTGTTCAGACCCAATTGAAAAGATTGTAAACATGCACCAATGGCAAGCAGTGTGCAGTAAACAAAAGAAATTCATGGCTGAAATGGAATATATGGGTGTAGAAACCTTTTGAAATTCACAATGAAGTCTTATGAGCGTTTAATTTTTCAATGGAGGCAAAATTCTGTGACTGAGATTGCTTCTGGATCTAGAGACTCATTGTCACAGGATTGTTTTGATAGACGTCATTTCTTCCCAGCCTGTAACTACCAGCAATGAAACTGCTCAATGTAACCACTGATAGGAAATTCATAAGTAAGTTGGTTGAATCAAGTAAAAGGTGAAGGGTAGTTAAATCTAAGTTCCTTTAACATTTGTTTTGAAACTTTCTGTTTGGGAGTAGAGCTCGGCTTTTGTAGTCCTTTTTAAGTTCAGAGGGATCTTAGAGGTTATTTGCTCTAACAGCTTATTTTACAGATGAGAAAATTTAGGCCAGAGAATTTACCTGCTCAAATTCCTGTAGCTGGTGGTTTAGCCAGGCCCATCCCCTAAGCCATTATCCCCATATCAGTGGGTTATCTCGACGGAAACAGCTTTCGTGGGTGCATTTCAAACTATTGGGAGAAGCTAAAGGAGCTTACATGAAAGCAACTGAAAGATAAATTTCATTTGATTATAGAACAAAAGGAAATGTGATTTTTTTAGCTGTATATTATCATAACTTTCACTTTCCTAGTTTACGGTGTAAATAATAGAATTTATATGACAGAGTTAGTGTTCAATAAGGCTCACCTGTATGTCCAGGATTATTCTCTACATATGTTTTAGTATTACTCAGATCCACCCATCTCCTTTTCTGTAGTCGCACATGAAAATAACTTTGTTATTCAAGAGCTCAGTTTCGATTATGGTCTTCATTAAAAGGAGAATTGATCTGTATTCTTGCTTTGCAAAACCCAACCTCACTGTCACTAAAGATATGAGGATAGAATATTGATTTTCATCTAAACCTGCAAAGCCATTTCCGCTAATTGCTTCAGCTGGCCCCTGGCAGTCTTCAATCCTTCGCTGTAAGGTGACACCACAGATAATGTCCCCTTTCCGGAGTGGCAGTGTCCCGTAAGTTCTTTGGAAACCCTGGTTTCCCTTTTTGACCTCTGGCCCCAATAGCCTTTATCTGTACTTTCAAAAACATTTAACATTTTCTGCTCTGAACAGTATTATAGGTACTTGTCCATTTGTCTTCTTTTCCATAAGTTCCCTAAGGTGCTATGTGTATCCCCCTGACCTTTTTTTTTTTTTTAAGAAAAATTGATTCTTTAATAATCGCTGCTAGGACAACCAGTTAGTCATTTATATTAAAATTAAATTAAATTAAATTAAATAAAGCTAGATATCGTCCTTAATTCTTAATTTGTGTTCCAGATGGTGCACTGCTTAAAGGTAAAAATTAAACGCATAAAAACACTAGAAGAAAACGTGGGTTACTCGTACGATGAGTCATGGAGATCTTTCTAAGTTAAAAAAAAACAGGAACCATAAAAAAAATTAGGTAAATTTGACCTCTTAAAATTTTTACTTTAAACCTGACTAAAAAATTTCAAACTTTTGTTGGGGAAAAAAAAACCCCAGCTAAAGTCAAAAGGTAAGTGGCAAAACGAGGGAAAACAGTCATAGCACGTGTGATAAGGACCGGTTCCCTCTGTCTCACACGTTAGTAAGATGCAGGATAGCTCATAGAAATATAAAAATGGCTGATAAACTTACTTAATGTTAATTAACGAAGAGCAAATTAAATCAGCAAGGATACACCACGTCTCACCTATCAGATTGGCAAACATTTTTTCTAATTGAATTTGTTGGCGTGATAGGTGCGTCTTCCTCACTGTGTGCCTTTGGGGCCCAGCGTCGCGTGTGGCCCCGAAGGCCCTCAGTGAACGCTCATGGTACCAGCGACCAATCTGTTTTCGTTGTTCCCGAAAGCGTAACTGCTGTCGACATTTGATTGGTATTTGTTGCATGAATCGTATGACTGCCTAGAAAGCACCGTGCGGACGAAGGTATACACTTGTGGGGAAAGGATTGGGCCGGGCGGCCTTGAAACCTTGGAACCCATGCGTTAGTTCATTCATTCCATCGGCAACCCTCTGGGTTTCCGCCGTGTTTCCAGCGCGTGCGCACGCTGCGTTGGTGAAAGTGACCAGGTTCTTTCGGGAAACTGTAGAAGCTAATAAAACCACAGAGCATTTCAGATGTGGAAGAGGGCCAGGATGCTGCAGTTCTCGCTGTCCCCTACATTTTACCTTCACGAAGAGGGCTCTTTCACTTGTACTGCCGTTTTCGCCCGGTGGTCCGTAGTGGGCGGATAATACTCTACTCTGAGGCTCAAGAGTGGATGGAACCGCACCCCGAGTTCATCTTAGGACACTTCAAGCAGCCCGGAACTTTCCTGGAGACCAGCGGAGGGAATATAAGAAACACAAAACAGTCTGACTTAATGAAGGCCTAGATTTTCGTTGCTGTCATTCAACAGAGCCTGTTCCCAGCACTCACTGGCCTCATCAGAGTCTCTCTGCTTTGGCTGCAGCCCGGCTCTGTCTCCAAGGACAAACCCAGGGGCGGTACCTCGGGTTCCTCACTTCCCAGCTTCTTCCTGGCCTACGTTCTGAATCAGCGCCGCTTGAGCATTCCTTGCCTAGGAGCTTCTTCCTCCCCGACGTCTCGACTCAACTTTGGTTGAGACCAACGTCTTGTCTGCAGCTCACCAGGGGCTCCCTTGTCCAGGGGCAACTCCTTCTTAAGCCTTGAAAGCCCGGCCCCATCCAGACCTTTATCTTTGTAAATTCTTTATAGGCACATCTTAACCTAATCTGAATATTCATACAGAGTGTCAGTAACTCTAGGTGGTTAGTCTTAGGCAATTGTAGGGAATTGTTCCTTTTCTAGGAGTCTATTCCCATGCCATAGGTAAAGGGGGGTTTATCTCAATAAGGAGAGGTGCTGAATGAAAACGGGTATGAACCGTGTCCTCTGGGGTTGTAGAAGAATCTCCCGTTCGTGGTGGTTAGAGGAAACAAGCGCTGCTGCCTTGGGTGTTGCAGGATGAATAGGAGTTCATGTGAAAAAGCTGGAGTAGGGGCAAGGGCATCCCGGGGAGAGGAGGAAGAGACAACTCCCTTTGGTCAGAGGCGCTGGAATGGACTGGGTAAGAGTGTATACTCAGGAGCCAGTCGGCCTGAACTGAGAATCCAGCTCTGCGGACCACACTTTGGAGGGTCTGGAACATGAGTGTCTCCAGGCAAATGACTATAGTAGCGAACATTCGCAGAACCTCTGGGTGCAATAATTTGGAATTCTGTTTTGGATAAAAGGCCTGAGGATGTGGTGGGTGGCAGGGGAGGCGGCTGCGTGGGGAGGCGTATCTGGGGAACTGCCGCAGTATATTCTGACTTCATTCAGGACCAGTTTATGCAATAGAGCCGCACTCTGCAAGCCTTGAGGGCAGGCAGAACCCGCAGGCAAAGGGGAGTCGGATGTTTTACCGCAGAGGAACTGCTCTATCTGGTCCCCAGTGCTTAGCACAAAGGAGACAGACAGGCAGTAGACAGAAGAAAATGTAATGCTGGCTGATGAATCGTCTGTTTGGAATGGCGTGGTCCACAGGATGTTGTGGGTTTTCAAGAGCAAAGATATTTAAGCTGAGCCAGAGGGGAGTTTAGCATTTTTCTTCAGACCAGGGTAACATTACAGAAGGGCATGGGGGCGGGACGGGGCCGGGGCAAGAGAGGGGTTCGATGTTATCATCTCTAAGGCCCTTTTTT